ACATAAACTTTTAGGATTGACTATATAGTCAATACATCCTTAAAACTAGATTCAAGTACTTAAGGGTGAAATTAGAATTACATTAGCAACGATTACTAGCTTGTTTGCATTACAGTGATGCATCTTGGAATATAAAGGTTTTGACATAAAATCAAGAGTTTTCATCAAAACGGTACAGCATGCAATTTTTTGAGAACTTCAAGACATTTCAATTTCATCTACTAAGAAAGCAGAATGTTATATCAATCTTCTGATCATAAAAATTGCGATTATTTTACTACAGAGCGAATCCAACAAACAAATACAATTTGCCAAGAACGTCTAACAAGGTACGTACACATCCAACTTGCAAGAAAGTAGTTTGATGTGTCAATAAAAAAGCGCGGCAGACGCGGAAAAGGGATGGGTTTTCGTGGCACAGATTCGTCGCCCGGAAGAACTTGTACAGAACCGTATTCCTAAGCGACGGGTGGGCGCGAAGCTCGGGAAAAACCGTGAAAAAGTTTTTTCTCCCCCACCCGCAGTTGAACGGGACGCGAGAACTGAACCGTTCTTTCTGACTTGGCGTTCTCCAAACTCGTGGAAACCAAGGGAGAAAGAGAGGCACTCGAACTTTTCCACGAGAGCTCTTTGAGGCGCATGTCCTCCCTCTATTTTCATTCGCGACAAGAAACGACCAACTTGCCCGCTTCGGTATACATAATTTTCCAGCCCTTTTCGCGTCTTTGCCTACAAGAAATCTTCTCCATTATGTAAACGGATATGAAGTTTCATATCTAGGTAGAATTTTGTATCCGACTCCAAAGTGTACAGAGTTAAGGACGTATTAAAAGATATACAGGAATTACTTAAAAGAAACTAAAAGAGTTTCGAATATGTATTAATTAATTCGATTATGTGCTATACGATTATGATACTCGATGGATTAGATTAAAATTGTGTAATAAAACTGCGATGATATTCTATTAAATATTTGTAGAGGACTGTACAGGAAGTAAGAGATTTTGAATTATCAGTACAAGATGTTGGCACATCATAAAAATCCCTTCTACGAATTGCCATTAAAAGTTTTCATACATCCTCATGTAGTTTCGACTCTTCCGTTATGAATAGAAAGCAATCACTATGTTTTTTTTTATGTCTTTTCCTGCCTCGTTATTTCCCTAAAGCTACACTATTCCGGTTGGATCGATCGTTACTGCAAAACGAAACGCGATTCCATTTAAACGGTTCCCGACAATCTAATCTTGCATTCGACGACGCGATGCGAAGCGCGGAGCTTAAGCTCGAGGATCAAGATTTCACCGTTCATCGAAATGCAAGAATTACCATGTCAATTTCGATCTTTTTCATATAACTGAACGCTTGTTTGCGTTTTCTGATGCTATCTTTGATGATCGTCTTCGCTCGAGTATTCGCGCGAACATTTAATTAAATTTTCTATTCATTTATATTACGTTTCGTCTTATAATTTATTAGTATGTAATCGCCATTTAATTTCATAGTTGGAATATCTAACAGTACACTAAGTTTACTGGTAATAATAATAAAATTATTAGTCATTTACGTTGGACATAAATTCATCTTGGAAAGAATGTGTAAGAATGTTGAAGACACGTTCAACAATGCAATAAATGAAGGGAACAAAATGTTCTCTAGCCATATATATTTCGTTCGACGAGCCTTCGAGACTCGAACCAATCCTCAAAATATTTCGCTCACCTGTAAATTTTTAATGGCGTCCCTGAGCTGATCGTCAGTCCGAAGGTTTCCGGTCTCCATATCCGTTTGGGGTAGATATCCAAACTTCATGAGATAATTTTGCTGGAACAGATGAAAAGGAAATAAAACACTATAGCATGAGTATTAATTATATACGAGATGGCAAATAAAATATTTAAAATATATCATTATAATAAAATAATATATTATTTCGTTTCGTTCAATTTTACTTCATAATAAATCTATCGCGTTTCACCTTGCGACCAGCAAGTTCAGTTATTTCTCACAAATTCTCTAGCACTCGACCAAGTCATTTTGATAAGAGAAATTCTTATCAAATTTCGTCTAGCATCCGAAAATAATATTTCAACATTCTGCTAGAGAGACCTAAATTCGCCCACGGTCTCGTATCGCGAGATGATTACAAGATGCCAGATAACCGAAAGTAGGTATACTATGTACTAGGATAGTTCCACCGGAAGAGGATATGTACAGACATTCCCTGAATATACGTATCAAATGCCATTTGGAATTATCTTGTATTACTTGATTTGTTTATAGACCTTTGAAGAATGAATCTTGGTTTAGCAAAATACAGAAAAATAGAATTCAATCAATGGCCACTGTCTTATATTCATTATAAGTTCATATTATAATTTATAATATAAATTGTTAAATTAATATTACAATGATGAATAAAATAATTTTTTTTTAAATATACAAAACTGAAGGTATACTTAAATGTAGACATTTAACGGACTTATTAAAATATCGGTACAGAGTTGACACAAACAGGGCAAACATGCAAGGCATCAAACTGGCATTTATCTCAGTGCGCTAACAGAAAATGTAAATGGGGGTGCAAAGAGGTCATTAGGTGCTTCTAAATAGTTTGTTGAGTTATGCGGCTGTCTCGCATAAGCTTATTGCAAGGAACAGGGTATACGGCGCTGGCTTTAGTTTAGTATGAGATAAGTCCTTCGCTCCTGAAGCGTGGTTCCCTAAGTTTCGGTTTAATTCTATTCCTGCGAATTTACGACGCGACCTTAAGAAACGAAGCTTCGAACTCCGCGCGCTGTGCCCCGCCTTGTTTATTTCATCGCGAACAAATTCTCCGAATAGAGTGCCCTTCATTTATTAAAACACGTTCGCGTGAATTATTTAAGTTCTGTCTTTTTGACGGAGAGTGGACTTGATCATAAGAAATGAAATATATCGTAGGGTAACATTTGAGAAAAATTTGGATGCAATTCCGAATGTCGCTCATGACTGTTTCAAATGTATTATTGAATTATTGGAATGATCATTTCTCAAATGCTCTGTTCCAGAATCAATAATTCTCCATGATAATCTCAGATCAATAACATCCTGGTCTCGAGAAAATCTGGTATAAGACTTTCTTCGAGAAATGAAGATGGGTGAATGCAGAAAGTGGATTCGCTCTCCATTCTCATGATTTCCATTCTTGTATCTATCATAAGCATAGAACCAAGAACGAATACATAGAACGAGATTCAGATAGAAGTGAAACATCTGTCCGCATAGGTTTCTTTAAAACACGCTTCCTCTTCGTTGCACCCATGCCTGCGAGAATGGAATATTTTTCCTGGTGCGCACGATTATGAAGAGAAAAATACAGTTTCGCGAGAGCATGGAAATAGCAAGGCAAGAAAAATTCAAGAAAACTGCTGCACATTTTTCGAAGTGCGATTCGAATTTTACATTTCTATAATATCCTACGTTTTCGCTCGTATGCAAAGTGAAGACGAGAGAAAAGTTTTAATGAGATCAAGTAAGTAAAAAAAAAGTATAGATGGACTTATATCAGAAATGTCTTATTAAAAAGTTCTAAGTAAATTACGAACCTGATGTATTTATAGAAAAATATAAACAATGCATTTAATGTACAAAAATGTATAGCAAAAATTGTGTGAATATCGCAATGCTTAATTTCTATAAGCCTAATATAGGCATCGACCGGATGAACATCAGCATTGTTCCTCGAGCGTTCCATCCTACGTTGAAAACCGGTTGCCCGCGGCTCCGGCGACTATGTCAGTGGTTGCATTACCATTTACGGAGGGTAATATATCGAGGAATGTCATCCGATTGAGTCCAAAGCTAACAATATATACCTGTTTCTACGTTTAGTAACTTGTATTTACCAAATGGATATTTTTCACTGTTCTAAATAAAAATGTCAGTGATCGTATGAAATTCACAAAACTGTGCCACCTAACTCGTACTATATTTTGCAAAAAAAAAAGAACGTAAAAGTCAACTGTATTTTAAGATAGAGCAGCAGCGAACATGTGATGGTGTGAAACGCGGTCTTATCAGAATGTCAGAACGGCGCGTTCCGATCTTGGTGATCCATCAAAAGGGATCCTGAATCCTTCAAAGGAGGCAGTGATTCTGCTCGTCGTTTGAAAGGAAGCTGCCTGCGTGGGATTACGATTATGACGGTAACAAAGCTCCCGCGTGTTCGCTCGGTTCGTCAAAGCCGCCACGAGGAGAAAGGAAAATCTCAATGGAAAATCTGGTCGTCGGAAGAGATCGTTTCGCGGGTCCAATCTTTTTCCATCATCGTCATTATCTTCCAAGGATAAATCTCTCGAATATACTATGTATCATTACCATGAAATCAATAAAAGATTCTCCATATACAAGAAGAAAAATAAAGAATCAAACAATTACTAAATTGATATCTTATACCAACTTTATATCATAAAGTTTATTGAATAAATTCATTGTTATATTTTAAAGGAAAAGAACCACATGAGAAACATTTGTAGCTTAGCCCTTGGCTGATTTTGATCTGAATCAAGCCACGGAATTAATCATCGAAATACATCGCCACGAAATGTAATTAGCCGACGATGCAAGAGAGACGAAAAGGAGACAGGGGACAAGAAACAAACCGTGAAATAACATCAACGACACTCCGCACTCGGGAGAACAATTGCACCATTCATCTTCGTTTCTCCTTTTTCGCAAGACCATTCACCGTGGATCTTGGCATGTTTTGCGGCGCGGCGCGAAGGAAACGGACAATTCGAATGAAGAAAGAAAAGGCGAGAGGAATGAGAATAGAGAAGCAAAATAACGTGTACCATTTATTCCTAAAGCTCCGTATCCACTCGTATCGTTGCGTATCATAGCTGCATCCATGCTGTATATGTTAATCTTTCATCTTATGATACATTATAAAATATACAGACTGAATCTATTAAAAATACTTTATAAAAATGAATTACGAATTGTTCAAATGCAAGTATGCATTGATTCAATGAATTCTATCCAAAGATTCTTATATATATATTCTAATGAAACGCAAAATCAGTTATTCTATTTGGACGAGTAAGATTTACATACGATAGTGCAACGTCCGTTCGTTTATAATGATACAACATTGATACGAATGGATGTGCAGCATTATGTCGTACACATTGCACCAGCAGGCTAGGGGAACGCTCGTATACAGATCGGTTTAACATGAACGGACAGCCATCTCTTCTGTAAATGCTTCGCCGTCCGAGCGTGTACATATTCCACGTCGTCAATTGCGTGCAACAGTGCAAACATCGTCGGCGACATCGTCTTCGACAACCGTGACCGAGTTTCATTTTCCGCGGATTTTTCGCACTTTACCTCGGCTACGACCGACGGCCACTTCGCGAAAGAATTTGCTCTTCCGACTGCTGGCTCGCGTTTGTAAAATATGTCGACGAGCCGTTAGAATTATCTCACTTTCGTGTATCGAGATACAAGTTACTCAAGGGAATTTCAAAACATATTTACTTCATCATCTTCTTCGTTTCTGGTTTGTACCAGCTTCCGTAAAGATCACGAGATAGAATCGTTCGTCCTTCGAGCGCGCAGCATGAATAAAAGAAAAATGATAAATATAGACTTATAAACGTAAAATGTAGATTGTGAGAGAGAGATAAGGAGAAGAAACGTAGATAAGACTCGAGGCTCGCGTGGAGACTTTCAAAAGTTGGTAAGGATCGCGTCTTCATCGAGAAATTTTATATAAGTTCACCCTAGTCCACGTTTTTAAATAACACAAAAGATGTACAACATTCCAAAAAATCGGAAAATCCATCACCTTGTCTATGTCTTTTATCTTTTGCACAAAGGAAGATTGTTTTTAATATAAATGTGGTGAAGAGGAACGAAGAAAGAAGTATACTCGAGTGGAATCTGAAGGCAATCGAACACGTTTCTCGCGGTTGTATCAGCAAACTGTATTTTCTCGAATTAAAGTCTTTTAACGAGGGTCATTCCGATCGAGCAAACCGGACACTTGACCTCGTTGACCCGATTTCCGGTTTGCCCGCGTCCTTGCTGACTGTTCATCTGCTGCTTCCCGCTCTACCCGAAGATAAGACACGAAAAAGAACAACGAAATTCTCAAGTCTGTACCAACAATTATCTTCCCTTACTTTCTTGCTTAGACCTCGTCCAATTGGATACGTCTGTGACGATCTAACTCCGATTGGTCGCAAATATAAAAACTACTTATTAATTCAAGAATAAATGACACAGCGGAGACGTGCGAGAAAATTCTTTGAGAACCGACGATGAGAGAACAGCGAAAAATAAGAACAGGTTTAAAAACACTGGAGCAAATTCTCCTCGGGGCAAACAAGCGAGCACAAACGAGACGAATAATAAAAGTGTGAATATCGTAGCCACGAGGGGCAGTTTCGCATTGTGAAAGCGCGTATCCGGCTAAATGTTGAGGTAATTAGACTGGACGAAACTGGGCTTAATTGAAGAGCAGGCGACAGCTAACTGGAAGACATTGCAGCGGTCCATTGGCCGGAGTCTAGAGCCCTCGAAAGCTCTCGCGAATATACGGTCTAGCTTTTCGACCCGCTAGAATACACCCTTTCACCCTCCCGGGCCCTGACCGGTCATTCGGCCTAACCTACTAACTGGCCTTCTCCACCCGACCCGTTAACAGCCGTTAGCTGTAGCCCTGAGACAAACTTGGCCAAACCTCTGCTGGATGTATACATGTGTACCTACGTATCGTGTGCCGTCGCACCGGGTTAAATGGTAATTAACTACCAACACTGAGACTGCACCGGTGG